GAAATATGTCGCCACAATAGCGGTAATCTACATTACAGAACGTAAAATGCATATATATTGACAAACATTTGTTTTGAAAGGTCGCAAGTTTTTACTGGATATATTATATATAGAAAAAGTGTCATCTTGGAACACATCGTACCATATAAAACTGTACACAAAGACGAACCCGGTCTATAAAAATAGTTGTGTTAAGCATGAAAGCTACGTTACCATTACTGTACGGAAACATGAATAACAGCTACCTATAAAAGTGATTAGAATGAATGCTTTGAGTTTTCATAGAGTAATAAAACCGAAAAGGGAGTGCAATATGCTTCCAGTCAAGATCATGGTAGTTTGCAAATGGCGAAAGTAATCAACGTTATGAAATCTACATTACCACCTGATATGCAATCTTACAAAATATTACTGGAAATAGACGATTTCGCTTGGTAGCATAGTCAGAGAACCCAGGCATATAATTTGATAACCTACAACAGTTGCCACTGGTTGCTGTCACATAATCGCAGCACTTCAATGACATTTCACGAAATTCAAATTTGGAACGGAAACTTCATCTTTAATCGGGAAATTCCCTGTGAAACAGGTAAGATTGCTTGTTAATTTACTTCATTATAGGGATATAGTGTCACAATATTTCAAAACAATTGTTCTACTGTTGAGAAGTTCTTCGGTAGAAGCATTTGGAAATGAACACTTTATTTGGGTGTCGTTAGCCATCATTTCAAAAGATTGACAAAAGTTGTATTTCGTGAAGCTTGTTTCAATTCTGTTAATATCACATAATTATTTTTAGACATATTGATATTGACCCTAAACGTATAATATTTCGATGTTTTAAAAAAACTGCAACATATCTTTCACCTCAGTTTTGTACTCGCTCCTCAAAGTATGGTAACGAAGATTGCAAGGAATGAAGTAATACCTTCATAACTATCACATGTTCCGGTAACTGTTATGAATATTTTATTTATTGCTAGTCAATGAATTAGTTTGTAAGGTAACGTAGATTACAGTTTGGTAACGTAGATTACAAAAATTCCATTGTTGAATTCTGACAGAATGGGCAAGACTCATGCCGAGATCCAGCGGACTACGGACAAGGGAATAGGGAGAAAGAAGGAAGGAATGCTATTCATGTGAACAAGTGTTTTTTGTGCGAATCTGTAATCTACGTTACAAAAGCATTCATTCACAACCTGATCAATAATATTACCTTTTATAAATGCTGTTGTTTTGTCAGTGAAGTTCATGATATTACCTCTCAGGTGTCGATTCTTTTTGTCGACTTCTTTTGCGTAAAGAACTGCATTTAACAGTATAACTTGAAGTTATATTTTCAAGGGCTTTGACTTGATCAAGTTTATTGTTATAATGCCCAGAAACTCAACTGAGTGGAGAGGATGTTACGTGTAATGTTGTTTCCTTAACGAAACACAACTTTGGGAACTTTGGGAATGATATCTCCCTTCAATGTGTTATGAAGCCATCATAAAGAACAGTCACGTAGATTACAACGATCGTGTATGGTGGTATTGTGTGAGATGTGATGGAATTTTTACAGCTCCCCTTGAGTGCTACAATTTCTGATATTCATTCGTGACACTTTCTTCAATAAAACAGCAACAACAAGTGACAGAATATTGTCTCTATTTTTTTACGATTTGTGTCTTTCAAATTGGACATTCTCTGTGAGAATTGGTGTGTATATTTTTCAATGTGGAGGACACCAGGAATGTGGGGAATCGAGCCCGGGTCTTCGGCGTGACGAGCGAACACTTCAACCACTAGGCTACCCCACCGCCCCCGCTGTAAATGAGTTGAAAGAGAAGCAGGAGATACTTGAAAGGAATTTAGAGTACGTGGAAACTGCTGAAAGATGATCAGAGCTCAAGTTTGTACTTGTATGACCAACAGAATAAGAGCTACAGAACTGAAACAGAGTTGTGTGAATTTGAACTACTCAGTAGTTTCAGAGAAAGTCCCAAAAGTCATAAAGGAAGTGACAGAATCGTGTGACAAAACATTAGTTGACTGACTACCCAGTGAGGCTATTGTTCGAGAGATGAATAAAAAGGGACTTTTGCTACCACACAATCAGGCAGCTGAGCAGCTTGCTTCAAAGGAGAATATTCTTGCAGAGTGAGGAAACTCTGGACAGGGGTTCCACTGTTGAGGGGTTCCATGTGAGGGATGATTCTTGAAACACATATGTCTTGGATTGCGTGAATGGCCGACAAATCGTAGGCATCATCATTAGATACCCCGAAGGAGTTTCTTTCAGACATACCCTTGGTTGAGGAAACCACAGAGCCTGGCACAGAAGCAGAAAAGATGATTCTGTCAAGGATAATGGCCACAATGTCGGATCAAGATGCCACTAAGAAGTGCCTCAACGACCGTTTGGAAGGATGCAAGAAAACAAATTATGCCAGAATTAGTAAAAAACATGGGAGGAAATGACAGCTGAAGAAAAATTAAAACGTTCAATAATTAACAAGTTATTTTGCAGACTCAATCTGTTTATGGACTTTGCAGAAGTTGCTAATCAGGTGTTGAAGAAACATTAAACAACATCTGAAGAATTGTCATCAGGCGTAAAGAGACAAAACCTGGTGAATGTTGTGCTGTAAAGTTCGTGGAAAGCACTTACAAGAAAGGGGATGCAAAGAGCGGTGCATACAGCCTGTAAAGGGACTACATATTTGACAAACATGGAGAAAATCTGCATTCAGAACCCTTCCATGGGAACTTATTTTACGTACTGTTCACAAATGCAGGAAACATTTACTTCTACAAAAATGAAATCAAAGATATCCTGGAGAACACAATCAAGAACAGAAATCGATTCATCAGTCTGTTCTAGATGAGGTAATAAAGGTGGCTTAGAACACTGCAGCTGCGAAAGTTCTTGGACTGATTGAGAAGCTCATTACTTCTCCTCTCTGGAGGATCATTTAATCCAAATGCCACATCTTGGCCATGAACAAACACTTACAGATTTGGCTAAAAAAACAGTACAAATCTATAGGTTTCATCATTTTGTTCAAGATTAAATCCAATTTAGTAGTGATTTTAGTAAATTAAACTGCTGTACATAAAATGGCCAGGATTCCACATCCACCATGGAAAACCAAGTAGAGTATGCTAAGTCGGAGAGAGGAGTTGAGAAGGTTCATTTCAAGGGGTTTCGGCATGTAAGACACAAGGATATGAAGACTGGAGCTTTTGTTTTTGTTCCAGCAAAATCAGGTTAAAAGCAAATATACTAAGCATAGTTGTACTCAGAGACAAAATATTGATTACAGTGACTATCAAAGTCTCTCGACTTCGTGTTTTTACATATTATTTATTTATATTAATTTATATTCATTCATATTATTTCAGACCAACCAGAACGTAAAATTCTATCATTTTACGTCTGAAGCTAAACTCCAAGGAAAATACAGCAAGTTCAAAGAAGCATACGTTGTACTTAGCAACCGACCAAACAAAATCACAAATGTGAGAATCCCACCGAACTTTCCACAAGTGACAATTGGGTACAGCATGGCAACAAATGTCACTTTCACCCCGGATGGAACCATGTGTTTCATGGCAAACACTAAAGTAAGTATAATACAAAATGAATTCCATGAAAACTTCATCAAAAGAAATCCATTACATATATCGTCAACTATCACATTTTTCATACTCTTTAACTATTATAATCAAAAAGTTTAACAAATGTACAAAATACAACATTCAATTACTTTACATGTTTTTCATATAATTTACACATAACATCAATAACTTTTGTTAAAAATGTGAACTATTAAATATCAATAACAGACAATAATTCGCCTCATATGTCTATTGCATGTTTAACTAAAAATTGTCTCCCATAAATTAAATGAGCATATATGTTAAATTAAAAACTTCAATATACACATATGTGTATTTACTCTAATACATTTAATATGTGTTGTCTGTTCATATTTACAACCATAAAATATATTATGACATTTCAGATCCTATCCACACTGCCTTTTGATTTCAGTGATGAAGTTCTGGAGCAATTCCATAATCCACCAGTTACCGCCATCACTGAAGCCCTGTCTGCGCTGGTAAACACACGTCTAAGTATCGTGGGAAAAGTCGTCCAGGTTAGTGACATTAAACCAAAATCCCACTTCAAATAAATATCTCATGCATTTAAAGAATTATACCTACATTTACTTTAGTATCCAATCCTTCAGTATAAAGAAAATGAATCCATTAATAAAACGTTTATACTATCTCAAATACTTTCTTTTTAAACAAGGCCTAGCCAAGAACAACGAGTGGAGTCACCATCTATTTAGCAGACAGCACTCATAAAGATCTGACAGTGGAAGCCATTTATTTCAAACTGAGCCCCCTTATTACTCCTGCGGGCAATGAATTCAATAGAATATATCTGTTTGAATATATTTATCACTGTATCAACTGCAAGGGTTGTCCTTTTAAGACTACTCAAGAATACATGTCTTTTACATAACAAGAGTAAGTGGTTAATTAACTTAAATTTGGCTGGGAAACCAAAAAGAATAGCGCAAGTGTCAACTTTTATTTCTTCATGAAAATATGAGTTCAAGTATAATTCCACACTCAACCAGAATTCTTTGACATGCTCACATTCTAGAAAAAACATGAAATATGACAGATGAAGAAAATTACGCTGTTCAATAATTAACAACTTTCTGCGGACTCCATCTGTTAATCAACTTTGCAAAAGTTGCCTATCACATGTTGAAGAAATATACGAAACAGCATGGGAAGAATTGTCATCAGGTGTAAATAAGACAAAATCTGGTGAAAGAGGTGTTGAAAAGTTCATGCAAAGCACTTGCAAAAAGGGGGATGCCAAGAGTGGTGCATACAGGCTGTCCTGGGTCTACATCTATAACAAGCATGGAGAAAATCTGCATTCAGAAAAGAAAACACTGGAGGAGGAGTGAGCAGCTGCAGCTGTTGCCATGGAGAAGTCCCAGTCTTATGCAGGATTGGAGGAGAGAGCAGCTGCCGCTGTTGCCATGGAGAAGTCCCAGTCTTATGCAGCACTGGAGGAGAGAGCACCTGCAGTTGTTGCCATTGAGAAGTCCCAGTCTTATGCAGCACGGAAGGAGAGAGCAACTGCAGCTGTTGCCATGGAGAAGGTCCAGTCTGCTACAGCACTGGAGGAGAGAGCAGCTGCAGCTGTTGCCATGGAGAAGTCCAAGTCTTATGCAGCACTGGAGGAGAGAGTAGCTGCATATGTTGCCATGGAGAAGTCCCAGTCTTTTGCAGCACTGGAGGAGAGAGCAGCTGCCGCTGTTGCCACGGAGAAGGCCCAGTCTTATGCAGCACTTGAGGAGAGAGCAGCTGCACCTGTTGCCATGGAGAAGGTCCAGTCTGCTGGAGAACGAAATGCTGAGAAGCTGTCTGGAGCTGTTGCTGACCTGGCCAATGGTGAAGACGCTGCAGTTGCTGTTGCAGCCTCCAAAGCCGACACAGTTCCAGGTAGGAAATGTGGACTGGGTTGGCCAGAATGGTACAATATCATCCATGACAGTGATGAAGCTCCAGGGTGATATAGATTGTTCTGTTAACCCATTCAACACCGTAGGCCGGAAAGCCGGCCACGACTCAGAGTCCCTACACACCGTAGGCCGGTTTGCCGGCCACAGAAATTCCCTACCTTTCAACACCGTAGGCCGGTTTAACGGCCACGCGTCTCGATGTAAACAAAAAGTCATTCTACCTCCCTCCTCCCGCGCTAAAAGGTTGTGACTGCCGGAAATGAGAATTGAGGCATTGTGGAATGTTTATCTGGAAACTTCCTTTCTTTTTCGCGGGAAAATTGAACAGTGAGGTACTTTTTTACCGAGGTAAATTTTCGCGTTGTGATTTGATCTTGAACACTCTTGCATAATGGCTACAGGTCACGATTCGGATAGCGATGAGGTTTCGGACAACGATTTCTTGGATGAAGTAGATGGTTTTGATTTAGTTGAACTAGATGCCGATGCTTAACGTGAATTTCGTGAACTTTTCGGGGACTCAGACGATGATGACGATTTTGCGGGTTTCACGGAATATTTTCCACCGGATTTTTCTACGTGGACTTGGAGCAAGGATTACGATGGTGGGCGTGACCGCAGGGCATTCGTAAGTGAAACTGGTCCCTCTATGGTTGATTTGCCTGAAGACAAGCGCAATGCTATTGATTTCTTTCAGCTGTTTTATTCAGATGATGTGTTTAAACCGATAACAACAAATGCCAATGCCAACAACAAACGGACCCAAGATCCTGACAACAAAGGTGAGTGGCACGATGTTACTACTGAAGAAATGAAAGCATTTTATGGTGTATTGTTGTACATGGATGTTGTCAGACTTGACAGGGATGAAATGTACTGGCATTCCGGCTCTACTTATAATTGGTTGAAATTCCCAATTAGTGAAATATTTTGTAGATCCAGATTTATCCAGATCAAGAGGTAATAATAATAATAATAAATAATGCTAATTTTTGCGCCTAGAATCCAACGCGATGCTGTTCTCTGGCGTTACATTATTACCCTGACGGAATTGTACTTTCAAAGCTACTACTAAGCGCTGAGCGCGACCGTATAGGTCCTTATACATCCGCTTTTCAGGTACCCATTTTAAACAGCTGGGTGGACTGAGTGCAATGTGGACGAAGTGCCTTGCCCAGGGACACAACAGAGTATGAGATCCAGGTCACAAATTTTGGTGTCTACACCGGGATTCGAAACCGGGCCTTTGGCGTGAGAGGCCAGCATGCTAACCACTACACCACTGTGCTCCACATTTCACAGGTATCGACATTTCAATGATGATACACCTGTGCCTGGTGACAAATTGTTCAAGGTAAGATATATTGATAGTATGAGATCAGTATTTCAGTATCATTAGAAACTCCACAAACAGGTGTCAGTGGACGAGGCCATGGTTCCTTTCAAGGGCAGGCTCAGCATCAAACAGTATATGAAGGACAAGCCTACAAAGTTCGGAGTGAAAGTCTGGGTATTGGCGGAATCTGTCACTGGGTATTGTTGGAATTTTGATGTTTATGCCGGTAAGTATGGTACCAAAATTGACCGCAAGTTAGGCCTTGCTGGACAGGTAGTGATCAAATTGTGTGAAAACATAATTGTCACAAAAATAGCTCTTTAGCCACAATCACCAAGAGTGGATCGCCCCCACACACTCCAAGAGTAGTTCGCCCAAACACACCATCTGATAATAGGATGATGCATGTGCTGCATGGGGAATACATGTGCTGTTGTGTATTTAAGAGAGTGATTGGAGAGGAGTGTTAAACAGATGATATATTTGCTTGAAGTGGATGCATGGGCTATTATGAGCCGTAAGTATGTTTTTTGTATTTATTAAACATTTGTGTTTTGAGTGTAATTTTCACTTTGTGTGGTATGTATTTGATATGTGACAGGGAAGTATGTTATGTTGAGTTAACAAAATATGCAGGTGATTTCAGTTGGTAATGTAATTACGCTGCTGATAGTGATATTGTAGCTATATACGTTCAGAATTTGCAACTTTCATAGAGGTCATATTTCATATTAAAATAGATGCTACACCCAGTATCTATTTTTTCCAGTGTTGATGTTGAACATCATGGGCATGGTAGTTGTTGACAAATGATGCACGTCAAGTATTTGTCTTGTCCTAGCTACGCCTACATGTATGTTCGTGTGTGGAACGTCGTCAGCTGTGTGGAATGCCGTCAGCTGTGATGTCATTGGGTCGGCAGTGTAACCAAAAGACTTTGGTAAAGTTGTTACATTGACTGCGTGAAGCAACTCAGTCTTGTGTTGGCTATTCTTCATCCCACGTTATGGTGGATACTCATGCCCACGTTATGGTGGTGCATTAGTGCTGTAGACGCACACTAACATTAACTTTTCATTCAAGTGTATGACTTGTATTTCTCATGGTATGATGAGACGATCGTATCCAAACCTGCGTTATGGTGGGGCAGTAGTGCTATTACTGCACGTGAACTTCTTTCAAGTGTTTGACTTGTACTAGTATACCGCTTCAGAAACATTTATTTGATTTATTGTATGTTTGGTACATGTGAATGCTTCAGCGAATAGTGTTTGCATGTGTGGATTGTTTGCACAAGTATTTAGGTTGGTGAGTAGTTGTTGGGAGCATTGAGATTGATTACATGAAGTAGTTATGTTCATAATTAACTTTATTTATTTTGTTTACAATTTCGTGTTTTTTTCGTTCGGGGTTTATACCAGTGCTACCCTTGGTCACTATTTGTTGCAGAAAGATACTTACCTGTGTGGCACAGCTCGTACCAACAGGAAGGGCTACCCCGCCGTTCATCTCCCTTCAGGTAAGGCAGCAAATCGTCTGCAGAGAGGGACCATCGACTGGCGAGCTTGTGGGGACTTCGTTGCAACCATGTGGAAAGACAACAAGCCTCTTTTCTACCTCAGCACGGCACACTCTCCCGAGGAAGATGGTTTGACCACCAAAAGGAGGAAGAAGGACGGGTCGCAGGAAATCCTTCCCAACGCACCATGTGTGAAGGATTATGGAAAGTATATGGGAGGGGTTGATAGGTTAGACCAAAACACTCGCCAAAATAAGGGCAAAAAACCCATGAGGTGGTATAGGCGTGTTGAGGTGAAGTTGAGAGAAATAGCCATTTACAATGCCTATGTCATTGAAGGTACCTTCATCAACCACATGCCAGGTGGGAAAAGAAAGCGAGATATGCTGGCCTTCAAGCTTGGACTGCTGCATCAACTCATTGGAGGGTACCGTCAAGACAGGAGGCTAGGTCGTTCCAGATCAGTCATCGTTGGAACAGGAACGCTTGGATGGGAACGGTCACTGGCCAGTGCCGTCAGGTAGTCTTGACACCCGGTGCTTGGTTTGTGTGAAGATGCACAATGTGTATCGTGTGCAGCACCCAGGTACGAAGTATGCTGACAATCCATTTAAACGAGCGAAGTCATCCATTAAATGCTCAAAATGCAATGTTCCGTTGTGTGTAAATTCAACAAAGTCATGCTTCATGTACTACCACACTAAAGTGCAGTATTGGCGTTGATGTTTACATACTGATGAAATGTTTCACACCTGCTGTTCATGAAAGTTTCTATTTGCCATTGCTTATGATTGTGGGTGTACATATTCATATATTTTAACCTTGAGCGCCTGACAGGCGATTGTATTCTACACAGGGAGTGTTCTGTACTCATTGACCAGGGGTAATATGTGAGCGCTTTGAGCATGGATAAATGCGCAATATATAAAGGGACTATTATTAGTATTACTATTATATTGATTGATTACTATTAATTCATATTTATTGAACATTTACACTTATGTTTCTGTTATAAATTATTTTTGTACAGTAGATTTCTTTGTGTATATATGATATTTATTGTCTTCCTTTCCAAACTTCTCTTCTTTCTTTTCTACAGGCAAAAAGTGAGTATTGGGTTGGCATGTACCTTTAAATGTAGTTTTTAGCTAACCTGATGTCACATTGTTAGAAGCGAAAAAAAATCAGCTGAGTGTTAACATGTTTTTTCTTGTCATGCCAGGTGAAAACTGCATCATCAAAGGGAGATAATCCACCTTCATCACACCTGCCAATCAAGCTTCAGCTACCTGTGCCATCTAGTGATGGAAAACATTTTATTTGCACTTTCAGTGTATGATATTTGACAATAAAGTAATTTTGCCCTTTTGTCAACTTTTGTCTTTTTTTCACTCGGTCCTGCTAACCATGGCAAATGAAATGATCTTTCAGGCGAGTTGCTGCTACATAATATTGCCTCTTTATTATTCTAGATTCCAATATAATATTCCTTTGCATGAAAAGCATTAATATTTCAACTATTCAACTTGAAAAACTCAGAAAATACCCTGTGATATAATTTCAGGTGAAGAAAAGGGTCATTTCAAAAGGGAGGTAATCCACCGTCACCACACCTGCCAATCAAGCTTTTTTTTTTTTTTTTTTATACCTGTGACATTTAGTGATGGCATAATATATAAAGCCTATGTACTTTGCATATTATATGATACAATAATATATTTCAGCCTAAAGTGATTTTTGTGCATTTTTACTTTCCTGGACTAACGAGTTTACCTGAGCTAACGAGTATTCCTCTTATTCATGCAGCAACACCCCTTAAAAATGTTGTGTTCCATTGTAAAATGTCAACACGCAAACAACTTTTATATGACATACAAATATATTTCATTTTTCTTTTTCAGTGAAGCAATTCTGCACCTGGATGATTCTCTCACCTGTACAACACCTGGATGACCTGCTTTTCTACACATTGCCAAAGATCAGAAGACACTATTTATTGCCTGTTATCGCATTTTTTGTGACTGTATGTATGTATATATATATATATATATATATATAATTTATTTCTTCACTTTCTGTTATGTTGTCTGTCTTTCCCTGATTGCTCACCTGTGATTACTTTTAATTAAAGAACAGTAGAAATATAAACATTAATTTCTTAATTTTCAAATACTACATACATTTGGCAATCCAATGATATATATATAACATGTTGGGGTTGTCACAAAAAGAAATATATACCAGAACACTTTTGAGAAACTGGTATATTTTAATTGGAAAGTATCTGGGAACTTGGTGTACAGGCATTCAAGGTTCCACTACACTAAATGCTCCCTAAACGAGAGCCGTATGTAAACAAGTGAAGAGAGAGACATGTGATTGGATGAAATAGTGTAAGATGTTAATGTTTTTTTTAAAAGCACATCCAACCAGTAATTAAAACTGACCACAATTTTAAGTATTTAGTGTTGTCATTTTATCACCATGACTTATGCTTATTGTGTACAGATATTTTCCAGCAGGTGGCATTTGGTGCGGAACTGGGGTTGATGTGTTCCGCTTCCTGTGCTCGCAAAACAAGCCGGACAAGTTGGCCTGATATTGTTTTATGGTAGTTTAAAGGCCAGAGTGTACCCATGTGTACATGGAATGGTTGTTAGCCTGGATATTTTTTAAAACATTTACAAAGGTTACTATAGAGGTCTATGGGAAAACATTTGGTGTGTAACCTCAATGGCTCTGGGAATGTGGTGTAACAAAGGGAAATAACTCTGGTTGACAGGTGTTGAAAGAGTTAAATATGTATTAAAATTCTGTTCCTGAGAACAATTTTCAGTATATATTTATAAACAGAGCAATTTATACTAGAAAAGAGTTGGTGCAAATGAAGATAATTGAAACAAATATTTACTCTTTTTGTCAATCTGAACCAGAAAGCCTCCATGTATTCACAAAATGTAATCTTGTACAGGAATTTTGGAGAAAAGTTCAAAACTTTATTAATCCTACACATTGTAATGTTCCTATTTCTGATCAAGACATTCTCTTTTGCAACAGTTCAGCTAGTCTACTAGCAACACACATTATCCTGTTGGCCCAAAAATATGTTTTTTCTTCAAGTATAAAACAGAATGAAATATCCAGTGATTGTTTTGCTAATATCGTCAAGGATGTGTAGAAAGAATTATTGCTTGTAAGAACAATGTTTTGCCTTAATTTCATTCCAAATGGAAACCTATGAACAATGTATCATAGATATATATAATTATACACCTCACATGTCCATCATTTTATGAGCGCTTCATTGTATATGCTCTGAAAAACAATGATAAATGAAATCAAACTGTACACCTGCTGAACTGAAATGAATAAAAAAATTGAAAAAAGAACCCCCATACTGTGCAAAATTGTGCATGGATGTAAATAGGGTTGCTTAATAACCAGTTTCTCGAGAACAATTTAGTTTGTAGCATAGATTAACTGGGGTTTACTTGCTGTATTTTTGTATGTTCTGGTTCAGATACCTCTTGCTTCCAACTTCATGAATGTATATCTTCCATTTCAGTTCTATACTACATATACTTTTGAAGTGTAAATGTCATTCATAAGAATAATTTTTGCATTAATAAAAAAATTCACAACATGATTTTCATTCTAAATTTGGTTAATGGAGTAGTTTTGTGTAAACTTTACACAGTTGTTTTTGTAACAAGGTATGAACTAACGGTACTCTACTCTTTCAACAGTTGACACCTCCCCAAGTCATCCTGACGAATAGATGACGATGAAAGCAATCTGACAAGGTATTACATTAATCAAATTAATTGGATTTTAACAAAACCATGTCTCCTGCTGTATGACAATGAGGACTGAACTAATGGTTCATTGACTATTTTTTTCAAAGCGGCACAGATTTTCAGGTGTCTATCTATATTTTTTCCAAAAGATGTCATCTGATGACCAAACATGAAAACAAATATGGAATATTCCATGTAATGTAAGTTCTGACATCCATGCAGACATCTTCCTCAATTGACCTACGCCCTGATATAACTGACCTACTGTTGCTTATAGGGCTGGGACGATTCACCGATACATCGCGATACAATTAAGTTTGTTACAGCTATCGTATCGTCAACTGGTGTATCGATACAAAATGATACACAAGTTTTTTTCAAAACGGTTTTATCTTAAACATGTTAAAGTACTTAGGCCAAAAAGATGTATGTCCGTTTCCTATTACATCCTTTTTTAAAAATAGGGAAGGTGGGTCGGCTTTATTATCTTATTTTTTTTTTATTTTTTTTTTTTGTAGCACCAGGTGGGCACCTGAGAAGGTTTTCAAAGATATCACATCATGTAGTGACAATGCCTTGTGGTGAAACATTGAAAGATTTCTATATCAAATCATTATTCATGCTATATTGATACTATGAGATCAGCATTTCAGTATCATTAGAAACTCCACAAACAGGTGTCAGTGGACGAGGCCATGGTTCCTTTCAAGGGCAGGCTCGGCATCAAACAGTATATGAAGGACAAGCCTACAAAGTTCGGAGTGAAAGTCTGGGTATTGGCGGAATCTGTCACTGGGTATTGTTGGAATTTTGATGTTTATGCCGGTAAGTATGGTACCAAAATTGACAGCAAGTTAGGCCTTGCTGGACAGATAGTGATCAAATTGTGTGAAAACATAATTGTCACAAATAGCCCTTTAGCCACAATCACCAAGAGTGGATCGCCCACACACACCATCTGATAATAGGTTGATGCATGTGCTGCATGGGGAATACATGTGCTGTTGTGTATTTAAGAGAGTGATTGGAGAGGAGTGTTAAACAGATGATATATTTGCTTGAAGTGGATGCATGGGCTATTATGAGCCGTAAGTATGGTTTTTGTATTTATTCAACATTTGTGTTTTGAGTGTAATTTTCACTTTGTGTGGTATGTATTTGATATGTGACAGAAGTATTTTATGTTGAGTTAACAAAATATGCAGGTGATTTCAGTTGGTAATGTAATTACGCTGCTGATAGTGATATTGTAGCTATATACGTTCAGAATTTGCAACTTTCATAGAGGTCATATTTCATATTAAAATAGATGCTACACCCAGTATCTATTTTTTTCCAGTGTTGATGTTGAACATCAGGGGCATGGTAGTTGTTGACAAATGATGCACGTCAAGTATTTGTCTTGTCCTAGCTACGCCTACATGTATGTTCGAGTGTGGAACGTCGTCAGCTGTGATGTCATTGGGTCGGCAGTGTAACCAAAAGACTTTGGTAAAGTTGTTACATTGACTGCGTGAAGCAACTCAGTCTTGTGTTGGCTATTCTTCATCCCACGTTATGGTGGATACTCATGCCCACGTTATGGCGGTGCATTAGTGCTGTAGACGCACACTAACATTAACTTTTCATTCAAGTGTATGACTTGTATTTCTCATGGTATGATGAGACAATCGTATCCAAGCCTGCGTTATGGTGGGACAGTAATGATATAACTGCACGTGAACTTCTTTCAAGTGTTTGACTTGTACTAGTATATCTGTTTAGAAACATTTATTTGATGTATTTATTGTATGTTTGGTACATGTGAATGCTTCAGCGAATAGTGTTTGCATGTGTGGATTGTTTGCACATGTATTTAGGTTGGTGAGTAGTTGTTGGGAGCATTGACATTGATTACATGAAGTAGTTTTGTTCATAATAAACTTTATTTATTTTGTTTACAATTTCGTCTTTTCGTTCGGGGTCTATACCAGTGCTACCCTTGGTCACTATCTGTTGCAGAAACATACTTACCTGTGTGGCACAGCTCGTACCAACAGGAAGGGCTACCCCGCCGTTCATCTCCCTTCAGGTAAGGCAGCAAATCGTCTGCAGAGAGGGACCATCGACTGGCGAGCTTGTGGGGACTTCGTTGCAACCATGTGCAAAGATAACAAGCCTCTTTTCTACCTCAGCACGGCACACTCTCCCGAGGAAGATGGTTTGACCACCAAAAGGAGGAAGAAGGATGTGAAGGATTATGGAAAGTATATGGGAGGGGTTGATAGGTTAGACCAAAACACTCGCCAAAATAAGGGCAAAAAACCCATGAGGTGGTATAGGCGTGTTGAGGTGAAGTTGAGAGAGATAGCCATTTACAATGCCTATGTCATTGAAGGTACCTTCATCAACCACATGCCAGGTGGGAATAGAAAGCGAGATATGCTGGCCTTCAAGCTTGGACTGCTGCATCAACTCATTCGAGGGTACCGTCAGGACAGGAGGCTAGGTCGTTCCAGATGAGTCATCGTTGGAGCAGGAACGCTTGGATGGGAACGGTCACTGGCCAGTGCCGTCAGGTAGTCTTGACACCCGGTGCTTGGTTTGTGTGAAGATGCACAATGTGTATCGTGTGCAGCACCCAGGTACAAAGTATGCTGACAATCCATTTAAACGAACGAAATCATCCTTTAAATATGCTCAAAATGCAATGTTCCATTGTGTGTAAATTCAACAAAGTCATGCTTCATGTACTACCACACTAAAGTGCAGTACTGGCGTTGATGTTTACATACTGATGAAATGTTTCACACCTGTTGTTCATGAAAGTTTCTATTTGCCATTGCTTATGATTGTGGGTGTACATATTCATATATTTGAACCTTGAGCGCCTGACAGGCGATTGTATTCTCCACAGGGAGTGTTCTGTACTCATTGACCAGGGGTAATATATGAGCGCTTTGAGCGTGGATAAATGCGCAAAATAAACGGACTATTATTAGTATTACTATTATATATATATATATTGATTACTATTTATTCATATTTATTGAACATTTACACTTATGTTTCTGTTATAAATTATTTTTGTACAGTAGATTTCTTTGTGTGTATATATATTTATTGTCTTCCTTTCCAAACTTCTCTCTCCTTTCTTTTCTACAGGCAAAAAGTGAGTATTGAGGTGGCATGTAACTTTCAATGTAGTTTTAGCTAACCTGATGTCACATTGTTAGAAGCGAAAAAATCAGCTGAGTGTTAACATGTTTTTTCTTGTCATGCCAGGTAAAAACGGCATCATCAAAGCGAGATAATCACACCTGCCAATCAAGCTTCAGCTACCTGTGCCATCTAATGATGGAAAACATTTTATTTGCACTGTCAATGTATGATATTTGACAATAAAGTAATTTTGCCCTTTTGTCAACTTTTGTCTTTTTTTCACTTGGTCCTGCTGACCATGGCAAATGAAATGATCTTTCAGACGAGTTGCTGCTGCATAATATTGCCTCTTTATTATTCTAGATTCCAATATAATATTCCTTTTGTATGAAAAGCATTAATATTTCAACTATTCAACTTGAAACACTCAGAAAATACCCTGTGATATAATTTCAGGTGAAGAAAAGGGTCATTTCAAAAGGGAGGTAATCCAGTCACCACACCTGCCAATCAAGCTTCTTTTTTTTTTTATACCTGTGATGGCAAAATATATAAAGCCTATGTACTTTGCATATTATATGATAATACAATAATATATTTCAACCTAAAGTGATTTTTGTGCATTTTTACTTTCCTGGACTAACGAGTTTACCTGAGCTAACGAGTATACCTCTTGTAGATGCAGCAACACCCCTTAAAAATGTTGTGTTGATGTTCCATTGTAAAATATAATGTCAACACGCAAACAACTTTTATATGACATACAAATATATTTCATTATTTCAGCGAAGCAATTCTGCACCTGGATGATTCTCTCACCTGTACAACACCTGGATGACCTGCTTTTCTACGGATTGCCAAAGATCATAAGACACTATTTATTGCCTGTTATCGCATTTTTGGGACTAATATATATATATATATTTATTTCTTCACTTTCTGTTATGTTGTCTGTTTTTCTGATTGCTCACCTGTGATTTCCTTTAATTAAAGAACAGTAGAAATATATAAACAGTAATTTCTTAATTTTCAAATACTACATAGATTTGGCAATCCAATGATATATAACATGTTGGGGTTGTCACAAAAATAAATATACCAGAACACTTTTGAGAAACTGGTATATTTTCATTGGAAAGTATCTGGGAACTTTGTGTACAGGCATTCAAGGTTCCACTACACTAAATGCTCCCTGAGCGAGAGCCGTATGTAAACAAGTGAAGAGAGACGGAGACATGTGACAGCTGTGATTGGATGAAATAGTGTAAGATGTTAATGTTTTTTAAAAGCACATCCAACCAGTAATTAAAACTGACCACAATTTTAAGTATTTAGTGTTGTCATTTTTATCACCATGACTTATGCTTATTGTGTGTACAGATATTTTCCAGTAGGTGACATTTGGTGCGGAACTGGGGTTGATGAGTTCCGCTTCCTGTGCTCGCAAAACGAGCAGGACAAGTTGGCCTGTTTTGTTTTATGGTAGTGTGAGGGCCAGAGTGTACCCATGTGTACATGGAATGGTTGTTGATAGCCTGGGTATTTTAAAAAAATATAAGGTTACTATACTATCACATACTGAACAGGTTGATTTGATGACAAATGGGCACTGGTACAATGGGACATATGTGCACTGTATTTAATGATTATTAATCACGTCTAAGGGCGGTGAGGTAGCCTAGTGGTTATAGTGCCTGCGGTGCGGGTTCGATTCCCCACACAGGCACAATGTGTAAAGCCCATGCTTTGTGTCCCCTGCCGTCATAGTGCTGGAATATTTGCTGAAGGATGTGTAAAGCCAAACTCACTACCTAACAATCACTTGTAAAATGTATATCAAAATATTAGTGAGGGAGTAACATGTACTGAAAATTATGTGCTATATACAATACAGGTACAAGAGAACAAGGGAGGGCATGTTAAAGATTGTTGATGTTGTCCAGAGGAAAACACCAACTGCCACATCGGCAACTAGCTCGCCAACACCTCACGTCTCCGACACTACTGACCCCAAGAGACGTCAAGACGCCAACTGTTCAAATGCTAAAACTGTACACTTCGTTGTTGAACGCGACGGTGCAAGAGTGACATTTGACATGTAATAAAGGGATGAAAACATTGGGAGGTTTCGTTTCTATATTTTGGTAATGGCTGACTGAGTTTAGTTTTATGCCGCTTTTAGCAATATCCCAGCAATATCACGGCGGGGGACACCAGAAATGGGCTTCACACAATGTACCAATGTGGGGAATCGAACCCGGGTCTTCGGTGTGACGAGCAAAACGCTTTAACCACTAGGCTACCCCACCGCCCCATTTCTGTAATGTGGGTATTACTGTTTGAATTCAGCGTTTGGACCGGGTCGGTAATAGGGCGCCAATATTTGAAAGTAGGGCGTCAATACACCAGATGAAGTCGCCAATATACGAAGCTAAGTCGCCAATAAACGAAAGATACGGGCTTCCCATCCCATGCTTATTGGAGTGATATGTTGTGTAATGGAGGCAATTTTAGGTTTAAGTAAGGAATAAACTCCGAAGACTCGCCAATATTCGCGCGGTTGGTTGAGTCCGAGAAATAATGTAGACACAGTTGGGAATAGTTCTTCGGATGAGGAATTGCTGCGTGAGTCCCAAAACCTAGAACGGGAATTTGACCAAATGAATAGTTCAGCAGATGATGAACTGATGCTTGCTTCTCAGCAGATAGAAAAAAGAAGTGAACAAACTACCAAACGTTTTGGCAACCCTCTCTCAGTTTCTGAATATCAAAGCTTGGAAAATCTCTCAAAAAAAAAATATACATACAGAAAAGAAAAGCAGTGGGCAGTGCGGGTTTTCGATTCCCGCTAACGTGAAAGGGATGGGTTTGAATCCCAGTTAGGCAGCAAATTATTAAGTATTTCTGATGAAGATCTGAATAGGACGCTGAGTCTGTTTGTCACAGCAGTAAGGAACCAAAGGAGTGAGTTTAGTTTTACGCCGCACTCAGCAATATTCCAGCTATATGGTGGTGGTCTGTAAATAATCGCGTCTGGACCTGACAATCCAGTGATCAGCAGCATGAGCATCGATCTGCGCAATTGGGAACCGATGATATGTGGCAACCAAGTCAGCGAGCATGACCACCAGATCTCGTTAGTCGCCTCTTACAACAAGCATGGGTTACTGAAGGCCAATATTCTAACCCGGACCTTCACGGGTAAGGAACCAAAAGGGAGGTCAACAAGGGCAACATAATTCACGAGATTCTTATTTCGATGAGAGATTCTTGCGCCAAAGTGGTCGAGATGTTAACCTAACCACCGACTTTGCTTTTAGGGGTTTAAGACTGACTGACTGAGTTTGGTTTTACGCCGCTTTTAGCAATATTCCAGCAACATCACGGCGGGGGACACCAGAAATGGGCTTCACACATTGTACCCATGTGGGGATTCGAACCCGGATCTTCGGATTGACGAGCCAACGCTTTAACCACTAGGCCACCCCACCGCCCCAGGGGTTTAAGAACCATTTTAGACGCTAAAATGTAATCACTGGCACAGTCTGGTTTTGGCATGCACAGAAGGCTAGGAAAGCTAGCGTCATCACACCACAAGAGGAGGATGCATTGTGGGAGTCGGGTTTGCTTGGGGAAGACACCCCGGAGAAAATTGCTTGAAACCGCTTTTTATTTGAATGGGCCGTTGTCAATATAGACTTGACCAAAAGTACATGTCATTGAGGTGAGTGAATAACATGGTGATTACTTAAAATCTTGAAATTAAAAAAAAAATGAAATTCATATCTTTTTAAAAAATAGTTTGTTTAAAAAAAACATGACGACGGCTACAGTGCAGCCTGTATGCAATGTATGTACAACTTGACTGCCATCGAACCCGCGCCGCAGGCACTTTGACCACTAGGCTACCTCACCGCCCATAGACGTAATTAATAACTGAGGTAGCCTAGTGGTTATAGTGCTTGCGAAGCAGGTTCGATTCCCCGCAAAGGCACAATGTGTACAGACTGTAAAGCCCATGCATTGTGTCCCCCCACCGTTATACTGCTGCAATTCAAGTGCTAAAACTGTACACTTCGCTGTGGAACGTAATGGTGCTAAAATGACATTTGACAAGAAATAAATGAATGAAAACATTGAGTTTGTTTCTGTATTTCAGTAATGGGGGTATTACTGTTTGGATTCAGCGTTAGGACCGGGTCAGTAATAGGGCGCCAGTATTTGAAAGTAGGGCGCTAATAATACACGCAATAAAGTCGCCAATATACGAAGCTAGGTCGCCAATAAACGAAAGATACGGGCCTCCCATTCCATCCTTATTGGAGGGATATGTTGTGTAATGGAGGCAATTTTAGGTTTAAGGTTCAGATACCTCTTGCTTCTAACTTCATGAATGTATATCTTCCATTTCGGTTCTATACTACATATACTTTTGAAGTGTTAATGTAATTCATAAGAATGATTTTTGCATTAAAAAAAAAGATTCACGACATGATTTTCATTCTAAATTTGGTTAATGGAGTAGTATTGTGTAAACTTTACACAGTCGTTTTTGTAACAAGGTATGAACTAACGGTACTCTACTCTTTCAACAGTTGACACCTCCCCAAGTCATCCTGACGAATAGATGACGATGAAAGCAATCTGACGAGGTATTACATTAATCAAATTAATTGGATTTTAACAAAACCATGTCTCCTGCTGTATGACAATGAGGACTGAACTAATGGTTCATTGACTATTTTCTTTCAAAGCGGCACAGATTTTCAGGTGTCTATCTATATTTTTTCCAAAAGATGTCATCTGATGACCAAACATGAAAACAAATATGGAATATTCCATGTAATGTAAGTTCTGACATCCATGCAGACATCTTCCTCAATTGACCTACGCCGTGATATAACTGACCTACTGTTGCTTATAGAGCTTGGACGATTGGCCGATGCACCAATACATCGCGATACAGTTTGTTACAGCTATCGTATCGTCAACTGGTGTATCGATACAAAATGATACACAACTTTTTTTCAAAACAGTTTTATCTTAAACATGTTAAAGTACTAAGGCCAAAAAAATGTATGTCCGTTTCCTATTCCATGCTTTTTAAAAATAGGGTAGGTGGGTCGGCTTTATTATCTTTTTTTTTTACTTTTCCTTTTTTTTAGTAGCACCAGGTGGGCACCTGAGAAGGTTTTCAAGGATACCATATCATGTAGTGACAATGCCTTGTGGTGAAACATTGAAAGATTTCTACATCAAATCATTATTCAAGCTATATTGATACTATGAGATCAGTATTTCAGTATCATTAGAAACTCCACAAACAGGTGTCAGTGGACGAGGCCATGGTTCCTTTCAAGGGCAGGCTCGGCATCAAACAGTAAATGAAGGACAAGCCTACAAAGTTCGGAGTGAAAGTCTGGGTATTGGCAGACTCTGTCACTGGGTATTGTTGGAATTTTTATGTTTATGCCGGTAAATATGGTACCAAATTGACCGCAAGTTAGGCCTTGCTGGACAGGTAGTGATCAAATTGTGTGAAAACATAATTGTCACAAAAATAGCTCTTTAGCCACAATCACCAAGAGTGGATCGCCCACACACACTCCAAGAGTAGTTCGCCCAAACACACCATCTGATAATAGGTTGATGCATGTGCTGCATGGGGAATACATGTGCTGTTGTGTATTTAAGAGAGTGATTGGAGAGGAGTGTTAAACAGATGATATATTTGCTTTAAGTGGATGCATGGGCTATTATGAGCCGTAAGTATGGTTTTTGTATTTATTGAACATTTGTGTTTTGAGTGTAATTTTCACTTTGTGTGGTATGTATTCGATATGTGACATTTTATGTTGAGTTAACAAAATATGCAGGTGATTTCAGTTGGTAATGTAATTACGCTGCTGATAGTGATATTGTAGCTATATACGTTCAGAATTTGCAACTTTTATAGAGGTCATATTTCATATTAAAATAGATGCTACACCCAGTATCTATTTTTTCCAGTGTTGATGTTGAACATCAGGGGCATGGTAGTTGTTGACAAATGATGCACGTCAAGTATTTGTCTTGTCCTAGCTACGCCTACATGTATGTTCGTGTGTGGAACGTCGTCAGCTGTGTGGAATGTTGTCAGCTGATGTCATTGGGTCGACAGTGTAACCAAAAGACTTGGGTAAAGTTGTTACATTGACTGCGTGAAGTAACTCATAGTCTTGTGTTGGCTATTCTTCATCCCACGTTATGGTGGATACTCATGCCCACGTTATGGTGGTGCATTAGTGCTGTAGACGCACACTAACATTAACTTTTCATTCAAGTGTATGACTTGTATTTCTCATGGTATGATGAGACAATCGTATCCAAGCCTGCGTTATGGTGGGGCAGTAGTGCTATAACTGCACGTGAACTTCTTTCAAGTGTTTGACTTGTACTAGTATATCTGTTTAGAAACATTTATTTGATGTATTTATTGTATGTTTGGTACATGTGAATGCTTCAGCGAATAATATTTGCATGTTTGGATTGTTTGCACATGTATTTAGGTTGGTGAGTAGTTGTTGGGAGCATTGAGATTGATTACATGAAGTAGTTTTGTTCATAATAAACTTGATTTATTTTGTTTACAATTTCGTCTTTTCGTTCGGGGTCTATACCAGTGCTACCCTTGGTCACTATCTGTTGCAGAAAGATACTTACCTGTGTGGCACAGCTCGTACCAACAGGAAGGGCTACCCCGCCGTTCATCTCCCTTCAGGTAAGCCAGCAAATCGTCTGCAGAGAGGGACAATCGACTGGCGAGCTTGTGGGGACTTCGTTGCAACCATGTGGAATGACAACAAGCCTGTTTTCTATCTCAGCACGGCACGGGCACTCTCCCGAGGAAGATGGTTTGACCACCAAAAGGAGGAAGAAGGACGGGTCGCAGGAAATCCTTCCCAGCGCACCATGTGTGAAGGATTATGGAAAGTATATGGGAGGGGTTGATAGGTTAGACCAAAACACTCGCCAATAAGAGCAAAAAAACCATGAGGTGGTATAGGCGTGTTGAGGTGAAGTTGAGAGAAATAGCCATTTACAATGCCTAATGTCATTGAAGGTACCTTAATCAACCACATGCCTGGTGGGAAAAGAAAGCGAGACATGCTGGCCTTCAAGCTTGGACTGCTGCATCAACTCATTGGAGGGTACCGTCAACACAGGAGGCTAGGTCGTTCCAGATCAGTCATCGTTGGAGCAGGAACGCTTGGATGGGAACGGTCACTGGCCAGTGCCGTCAGGTAGTCTTGACACCTGGTGTGTGGTTTGTGTGAAGATGCACAATGTGTATCGTGTGCAGCACCCAGGTACAAAGTATGCTGACAATCCATTTAAACGAGCTAAGTCATCCATTAAATGCTCAAAATGCAATGTTCCGTTGTGTGTAAATTCAACAAAGTCATGCTTCATGTACTACCACACTAAAGTGCAGTACTGGCGTTGATGTTTACATACTGATGAAATGTTTCACACCTGTTGTTCATGAAAGTTTCTATTTGCCATTGCTTATGATTGTGGGTGTACATATTCATATATTTGAACCTTGAGCGCCTGACAGGCGATTGTATTCTCCACAGGGCGTGTTCTGTACTCATTGACCAGGGGTAATATGTGAGCGCTTTGAGCGTGGATAAATGCGCAATATAAATGGACTATTATTAGTTTTACTATTTTATATATATATATATACATATTCATTACTATTTATTCATATTTATTGAACATTTACACTTGTTATGTTTGTTATAAATTATTTTTGTACAGTTGATTTCTTTGTGTATATATGATATTTATTGTCTTCCTTTCCAAACTTCTCTCTTCTTTCTTTCTACAGGCAAAAAGTGAGTATTGGGTTGGCATGTACCTTTAAATGTAGTTTTAGCTAACCTGATGTCACATTGTTAGAAGCGAAAAAAATCAGCTGAGTGTTAACATGGTTTTCTTGTCATGCCAGGTAAAAACGGCATCATCAAAGGAGATAATCCACCTTCATCACACCTGCCAATCAAGCTTCTTCAGCTACCTGTGCCATCTAGTGATGGAAAACATTTTATTTGCACTGTCTATGTATGATATTTGACAATAAAGTAATGTTGCCCTTTTGTCAACTTTTGTCTTTTTTTTCACTTGGTCCTGCTAACCATGGCAAATGAAATGATCTTTCAGGCGAGTTGCTGCTGCATAATATTGCCTCTTTATTATTCTAGATTCCAATATAATATTCCTTTGTATGAAAAGCATTAATATTTCAACTATTCAACTTGAAGGAAAAACTCAGTAAATACCCTGTGATACAATTTCAGGTGAAGAAAAGGGTCATTTCAAAAGGGAGGTAATCCACCGTCACCACACCTGCCAATTAAGCTTCTTTTTTTTTTTTTATACCTGTGACATTTAGTGATGGCAAAATATATAAAGCCTATGTACTTTGCATATTATATGATAATACAATAATATATTTCAGCCTAAAGTGATTTTGTGCATTTTTACTTTCCTGGACTAACGAGTTTACTTGAGCTAACGAGTATACCTCTTGTAGATGCAGCAACACCCCTTAAAAATGTTGTGTTGATGTTCCATTGTAAAATATAATGTCAACACGCAAATAACTTTTATATGACATACAAATATATTTCAGTATTTCAGTGAAGCAATTCTGCACCTGGATGATTCACACCTGTACAACACCTGGATGACCTGCTTTTCTACGGATTGCCAAAGATCAGAAGACACTATTTATTGCCTGTTATCGCATTTTTTGTGACATATATATATGTATATTTCTTCACTTTCTGTTATGTTGTCTGTCTTTCTCTGATTGCTCACCTGTGATTACCTTTAATTAAAGAACAGAAATATAAACATTAATTTCTTAATTTTCAACTACTACATAGATTTGGCAATCCAATGATATATAACATGTTGGTTGTCACAAAAATAAATATACCAGAACACTTTTGAGAAACTGGTATATTTTCATTGGAAAGTATCTGGGAACTTGGTGTACAGGCATTCAAGGTTCCACTACACTAAATCAGCATCACATGCTCCCTGAGAGAGCCGTATGTAAACAAGTGAACAGACATGTGACAGCTGTGATTGGATGAAATAGTGTAAGATGTTAATGTATTTTAAAAGCACATCCAACCAGTAATTAAAACTGACCACAATTTTAAGTATTTAGTGTTGTCATTTTTATCACCATGACTTATGCTTATTGTGTGTACAGCAGTGTTCCCGTTCTCCGGTAATTACCGGATTTTTACCGATAAAAATTGTGAAGATCCGGTATTTTCAACTGCCGTCGGTAGCTGCCGCCGGTAAATTTTGTATTGCTTAAAGTTGCCATTTATCGGCAGATTTAATAAACTTGCAGATAACATCTTTGTTTATTCTTTGTTCTCTTCAGATCATTATGCAAACGTATATTGAAAACTAGGGTGGCAATCCCACATCTAAATATAGACTATATAGTTTTTTCACAGTTGTAAGAAGCGATTTTATTGGATAAAGATTGGTTTCTAATGACGCTTTTTCGCCACAGTCTGCTATAAGGGTCGTAATTGGTCAAAATCTGACACGTGACCTAAAGCAGCCAATCATATTACGGCAATGGATTCCGTCCTCGTAAACCAAAACTTTTAGATTTAGACAGAAGTTTTGGGTAAAATAATGCTATTCTGAACATATTAAGGAAGAAATCGCTACCTATACGTAAAATTATGGAACTTTTTGGACGTATCGTGCTAGGTTATGACCTGTGACAAATATGCTTCATGTATATATTTTAGCATTAAACATCGTGTCCGAGCGTGAAGATTGAGGCGGCGAGAGCCGAGATGTCAGTTGTCAGTGACTTGACTTACATTACATGATCGCACAAAAACATGGAAAATAGTAATTTTATATGTACAACTTTTATGAATGTTGTTGATTTTATTCATTAGTTTATTCAATTTATTTAATGAATTCCTCGAAACATGGTTACTTTGCTCTTTGACAATGTTATTGTGGACCCGCTGCCGAAGCATGTGTCCGAGAATCGTTGTTTTCAACTCGTGAAATGCAGGTTGAAATTCACCACAGGTATATAAACACTAATTATTTGCACATTTCACAGTCATTTAGATAGCGAATGACATTCTGAACACATTTATCGAATTTAGTTGGACCGCTTTCATTTCCTGATTGTGACAAAATACGAGACGAACGGCTATATATGCCAAATGGCGAATACTTTTGTCAGGTCTAATGAGCATTCTCGAAAAACAAGCAACTCGTACGGCAGACTTTTCAACACATTTACGTACAGTATATCGTTGCGATTACTGATTAATTTGTCTCTCCGGATAAAAACTAGTTCAGCCGGAATTTTCAGACCCCGTCGGCATAAGCCGCCGGTAATTTTCAAAACCACCGGGAACACTGTGTCGTTTTGTAACACAAGGTATGAACTAACGGTACTCTACTCTTTTCAACAGTTGACGCCTCCCCAAGTCATCCTGACGAATAGATGACGATGAAAGCAATCTGACGAGGTATTACATTAATCAAATTAATTGGATTTTAACAAAACCATGTCTCCTGCTGTATGACAACGAGGACTGAACTAATGGTTCAATGACTATTTTTTTTTTCTCAAAGCGGCACAGATTTTCAGGTGTCTATCTATATTTTTTCCAAAAGATGTCATCTGATGACCAAACATGAAAACAAATATTGAATATTCCATGTAATGTAAGTTCTGACATCCATGCAGACATCTTCCTCAATTGACCTACGCCGTGATATAACTGACCTACTGTTGCTTATAGGGCTTGGACGATTCGCCGATGCACCAATACATCGCGATACAGTTTGTTACAGCTATAGTATCGTCAACTGGTGTATCGATACAAAATGATACACAACTTTTTTTCAAAACAGTTTTATCTTAAACATGTTAAAGTACTAAGGCCAAAAAAATTTATGTCCGTTTCCTATTACATCCTTTTTTAAAAATAGGGTAGGTGGGTCGGCTTTATTATCTTTTTTTTTACTTTTCCTTTTTTTTAGTAGCACCAGGTGGGCACCTGAGAAGGTTTTCAAGGATATCACATGTAGTGACAATGCCTTGTGTTGAAACATTGAAAGATTTCTATATCAAATCATTCATGCTATATTGATACTATGAGATCAGCATTTCAGTATCATTAGAAACTCCACAAACAGGTGTCAGTGGACATGGTTCCTTTCAAGGGCAGGCTCGGCATCATACAGTAAATGAAGGACAAGCCTACAAAGTTCGGAGTGAAAGTCTGGGTATTGGCGGAATTTTTATGTTTATGCCGGTAAATATGGTACCAAAATTGACCGCAAGTTAGACCTTGCTGGACAGGTAGTGATCAAATTGTGTGAAAACATAATTGTCACAAAAATAGCTCTTTAGCCACAATCACCAAGAGTGGATCGCCCACACACACTCCAAGAGTAGTTCGCCCAAACACACCATCTGATAATAGGATGATGCATGTGCTGCATGGGGAATACATGTGCTGTTGTGTATTTAAGAGAGTGATTGGCGAGGAGTGTTAAACAGATGATATATTTGCTTAAGTGGATGCATGGGCTATTATGAGCCGTAAGTATGGTTTTTGTATTTATTGAACATTTGTGTTTTGAGTGTAATTTTCACTTTGTGTGGTATGTATTTGATGTGTGACAGAAGTATTTTATGTTGAGTTAACAAAATATGCAGGTGATTTCAGTTGGTAATGTAATTACGCTGCTGATAGTGATATTGTAGCTATATACGTTCAGAATTTGCAACTTTCATAGGTCATATTTCATATTAAAATAGATGCTACACCCAGTATCTATTTTTTCCCAGTGTTGATGTTGAACATCAGGGGCATGGTAGTTGTTGACAAATGATGCACGTCAAGTATTTGTCTTGTCCTAGCTACGCCTACATGTATGTTCGTGTGTGGAACGTCGTCAGCTGTGTGGAACGTCGTCAGCTGTGATGTCATTGGGTCGGCAGTGTAACCAAAAGACTTTGGTAAAGTTGTTACATTGACTGCGTGAAGTAACTCCTAGTCTTGTGTTGGCTATTCTTCATCCCACGTTATGGCGGTGCATTAGTGCTGTAGACGCACACTAACTTTTCATTCAAGTGTATGACTTGTATTTCTCATGGTATGATGAGACAATCGTATCCAAGCCTGCGTTATGGTAGGACAGTAGTGCTATAACTGCACGTGAACTTCTTTCAAGTGTTTGACTTGTACTACTATATCTGTTTAGAAACATTTATTTGATGTATTTATTGTATGTTTGGTACATGTGAATGCTTCAGCGAATAGTGTTTGCATGTGTGGATTGTTTTCACATGTATTTAGGTTGGTGAGTAGTTGTTGGGAGCATTGAGATTGATTACATGAAGTAGTTTTGTTCATAATAAACTTTATTTATTTTGTTTACAATTTCGTCTTTTCGTTCGGGGTCTATACCAGTGCTACCCTTGGTCACTATCTGTTGCAGAAAGATACTTACCTGTGTGGCACAGCTCGTACCAATAGGAAGGGCTACCCCGCCGTTCATCTCCCTTCAGGTAAGGCAGCAAATCGTCTGCAGAGAGGGACCATCGACTGGCGAGCTTGTGGGGACTTCGTTGCAACCATGTGCAAAGATAACAAGCCTGTTTTCTACCTCAGCACGGCACACTCTCCCGAGGAAGATGGTTTGACCACCAAAAGGAGGGAGAAGGACGGATCGCAGCAAATCCTTCCCAGGGCACCATGTGTGAAGGATTATGGAAAGTATATGGGAGGGGTTGATAGGTTCGACCAAAACACTCGCCAAAAATAAGAGCAAAAAAACCTTGAGGTGGTATAGGCGTGTTGAGGTGAAGTTGACAGAAATAGCCATTTACAATGCCTATGTTATTGAAGGTACCTTCATCAACCACATGCCTGGTGGGAAAAGAAAGCAGGACATGCTGGCCTTCAAGCTTGGACTGCTGCATCAACTCATTGGAGGGTACCGTCAAGACGGGAGGCTAGGTCGTTCCAGATCAGCGTCATCGTTGGAGCAGGAATGCTTGGATGGGAATGGTCACTGGCCAGTGCCATCAGGTAGTCTTGACACCCTGTGTGTGGTTTGTGTGAAGATGCACAATGTGTATCGTGTGCAGCACCGAGGTACAAAGTATGCTGACAATCCATTTAAATGAGCGCAGTCATCCATTAAATGCTCAAAATGCAATGTTCCGCTGTGTGTAAATTCAACAAAGTCATGCTTCATGTACTACCACACTAAAGTGCAGTATTGGCGTTGATGTTTACATACTGATGAAATGTTTCACACCTGTTGTTCATGAAAGTTTCTATTTGCCATTGCTTATGATTGTGTGTGTACATATTCATATATTTGAACCTTGAGCGCCTGACAGGCGATTGTATTCTCCATAGGGATTGTTCTGTACTCATTGACCAGGGGTAATATGTGAGCGCTTTGACCGTGGATAAATGCGCAATATAAAGAGACTATTATTAGCATTACTATTATTTATATATATTGATTGATTACTATTTATTCATATTTATTGAACATTTACACTTATGTTTCTGTTATAAATTATTTTTGTACAGTAGATTTCTTTGTGTATATATGATATTTATTGTCTCCCCTTTCCAAACTTCTCTCTCTTCTTTCTTTTCTACAGGCAAAAAGTGAGTATTGAGGTGGCATGTAACTTTCAATGTAGTTTTAGCTAACCTGATGTCACATTGTTAGAAGCGAAAAAAT